AATACAGGATACACAATGCTGATATTCATCTTAGGTATGATGCAACTGCTGATGACCTCATAGATGTCATTGAGGGCAGTAGAATATATATGCCTTGCATCTATGTTATCAATAAGATCGATCAGATTACACTTGAAGAGCTGGAGACTCTGGACAAACTTCCACACTATTGCCCAGTCAGGTATTATTAGCTATGTTTTGTTTTGTTGACATTGTTATAATGGTTTCATTGGAGAACTTGTTCAATTGGACAATACTTCTCAAGCATATATATATATAATCGAAGTAGTAAAATTACACCAGATCATCAGATTCATATGTCGCATGCATTGTTTTCTTAGGGCTACAAGACCTATTTTGCTATCTATGAACTAGAAATTTTTATTGCCTTTTTTAGTGTTTTAGTATTTTTGGGATCACCTTTTTGTTGTTTGTTGTTTTTCCTAACCAACAGACAACAAAGCTTCTGTTACTACTCTACTCTTCTTTCTTGTCTTTTTTTCACGACAAGTGCTTAACTTTTTGTTGAAGCTTCTTGAATTTTATCAGATGGTTAAATAGACAAATCTTGGGTCTCTCTGACGCAGGATGCGATACTATAATTATAGGAGAAGGGGAGAGGGAAAAGAGATAAGGAGATGGGGAGAAATCCAATTTATTGCATAATTAAAGGTTGTTTCAATTACATTGCATAAACCCCTTTATACTAATGCTAATTGAAGTAGAAAAATACTCTAAATAAATCACTAATTATGTTTCCTAAAATACTCATTAAAATTGGAAATTAAATATAATAATATCCCTTCTCATTCTCTATTGTTTCTCCTTGGCTGAGAGAATTTAACTCCGACGAGGTAGACTGCAAGTTCTTAACTAAGGAGGGCGATCTTTCTTCTTAACCAAATAACGGAACCAACTATATAACGACAACTGAGACAGAATATTAGTCCCAAACATCTGAGCTAACCAAGCTGGACGATCTTTCCTCTTGACAAAGGAGCGATAAGGAACCCCAATAAGCAACGAAACGTGCAACTCATCCACAAAAATTATCACGAAATCCACATGGGTAGCACAATGCTCTAGTACAATAGACAAATGAGTGCAGTACCGGTAGCTCGACTTTGTCCCAATAAGAAAACAATTATGCTATATTGAATGGAATTGGGGAAGAGAGACGTCAACGATTGGAATGTTACTGCTGTTTATTCAATCGATGGTAGAGGTGAAGATTGAGGTGGAATATCGGCAAGGTTGAGGCAGCCGGCAGCGTTTGCTGTGTTAGGAAGATGATGGATTGGGTTGGGTTTGAATTATGGGTCTCGGTTGGGCGAATTTCATTGTTCAGTTAGGTTGATGCATGGGTATGATATGGGTTTTTGGTCCTAATAAGGTTTGCGGAATAGTCCCTAGCATATGGGATGTTAAGTGGGCTGTAATGTGTGTGATGGGCTTGGGTTACGGGTCTAAAAAGTGAGTTGGTAGTTTGGGCCGAGTGTTCGGGGTTGTATCTATAGGCTATAGTTTTTCTATATAGTGGTCGACTGTGCGGGTTTGGAATCGAAAATTTAGCCACGGAGGTTTCCACTACAGCAGCAAGAAGAATGTAGCAACAGCATTTGTGTGTGTCAATGGCATTTGTTTGTGTGTGTGATTGCATTATTATTTTTATATTTTTTAAAAGCCAACTATCTGAACAGTACGTATGAACAATAGACTCCTTTTCTTTTTTTGGCTGCTAACCGAGGCAAAAATTTGGGTGGTTAAGGGCTGTTTTTATAGGCGTAGACGTAGGGCTGTTTTTATAGGCTGAAATTTTGAAGAAATTTTGTTGGGCCCAAGGATATGACTTGCTCTAATACCAAATTGACGTAAGATGCGACATTAGAATTATAGTAGAAGGGGAAGGGGAGAGAAGATGAGAAAGGAGGGGGGAAAATAGATAACAAGATTGGGAGAAATTCAATTTATTTCATAATCAAAGGCTGTTCCAATTACATTGCATAGACCCCTTTAAATAGGGTTCAAAGTAATGCTAATTGAAGTAGAAAAATACTCTAAATAAATTACTAATTATGTTTCCTATAATACTCATTAAAATTGGAAATTAATATAATAATATCCTTGCTCATTCTCCATCGCTCTCTCCACCTCTCCCTCTCCCTCTCTCCACAATTTGGAAAAAATGATGTCTGTTCTTGTAATATGAAGAGTTGAAAAAGCAGCTTACCTTCTTTCTCTTCATGCAAAAAATGATTTGGTGAAGAAATTTTCATTAATCACAAGCCCGTGAAATCTTCCAACCCGTTGGTGTTATTCTATCTTCATTTCTCTCGGTGCTTATGTCTGGACATTTCAAAGATTTTCAGCTAAGACAAGTTGATTTTCTCAAGTTTATAGTTGTAAATACGAAAATCTTAAGTTCACACCATCTTTAAGCTGTACTTTTCAAAAATGTATGAGCTAATGAAAACATGGATGAGGTTGCCCTCTAAATCAGAAAATCTCTGTGCTGTTTCTCTTTATTAGAAAAATATAATAGCTGAAGATTTCATTGTTCATTTATGTTTCACGTAATGTTTTTTTCTTATTATGATTTGCAACAAATTAATAAAGTGCTCATCTAGAATGGAACCTTGACGGTCTGCTGGAGAAAATATGGGAATATCTCAATTTAACTCGCATATACACAAAGCCCAAGGGGATGAACCCAGACTATAATGATCCTGTAATATTGTCATCAAAAAAGAGGACAGTTGAGGAATTCTGCAACCATATTCACAAGGACATGGTTAAACAATTTAAATAGTGAGTCTCTCTTCTCAATTTCCTTGTTCCTGAAGCTTTTGATTGTTCATTAGTTTCACTTTTCATTCCATGCATTTGATTTATCTCCACTATTTTGTTCGAAATTTACTGTGTTCTCTAGAATATGTTTATGGGATATCTGAAATAACTTTGACAAATGTTTTCATAAAATATTTTAGTTATCCGATTCTCAACAATGCTTCCTTTACTCTAAACTGACTCGTCGTTTTGTTGAATGATTTAGTGCATTAGTTTGGGGTTCAAGCGTGAAACACAAGCCCCAGAGGGTGGGCAAGGTAACTACACGAACTTCTTAAAAATGTGGGTCTACCTACCAAGTTGTTCATATTATATCTGTTGCTGAGTGATTAATGATTCACCTTGGTATTTACCAGGAACATGAATTGGAAGACGAAGATGTTGTACAAATCATTAAAAAGGTGTAGAAGTGAAAGTAGACGAAAACATTGCAACATGATGCATGAATGGAATTTCTAGCATGGAAGTTTTTTTCTTGTCCTTGAAGTGAATTACGAGTAGGCCGATCTGGGGATCGACATGTAACTAACCCATTTTATGGTGATTTTATCTATAATATTTTACGGAATTTTATTCCGTCTTCCATTTTACTAGTATGGAATATCCTTTGTTTGAAGGAAAATTGCTCTTTGTACAGCATTTGTTTGACAACTTTTTTTCATAGCTGTCTCAAAAAAGTAATCGTGAACCACACCTACTTGCATGTGTGTGTTGTGAAAAAAACTGTGAATAATTGATGTACTTATAACATCTTTCTTGTTTGAATATATGAAGTTGTTTTAAAAGTCATTAGCATTTATTTATATTTATATCCTCAACACCGTCTTTTGAAATGCAGAATGTATTCAATTTTTATGAAACTTAGCTGCATTTCTATGTGTATTCTATTTTACATTATTTTGTTACGTAATGTGCGAAAACATCAAATTAGTTGAGTTGAGAAGTAACATTTTACTTCGTAAATTAGTGCAATTTTCCCTAATCATTTTTACGTCCTTTTCTTTTCTCCTATGTCTCTTTGTATGAACATAGACTTTGCTGCACCTTTGAACGAACGTAGAAATTAAGTAATTAATTTTACCAAGCCTTTTTTTTTTAATTCATTTTTTCTCAAATTTATTTTCAACGACATATTTTAAGATAATACGTACTTTTATCAAAATTTCAACTATTCATTAACTTTTTATCAAAATTTATTAAAAATCTAATTTTTAATTAAACCTAACAAGGGCTAAGTAATCTAATATTCGTTTATTGCTAATAATGTAATATTCTCAAATTAATGACTTCTCCAATCTGGTCTGTTGACCTGCAAATCGCATTCATTTTTATGAAGGTTGGCTTTTATATTGTTTTTCTCATGATGCGTGAAAACAAGATTCATTTCAAAATTTTAAAGTTAGTCCCAGTCAAGTAACTTCATAAAATAGGGCTTTTTTTTTTTTTTTTTTTTTCGATGTCTTTTCTCAGACAACCGGCCAATAGGCATTGATCACGTCGGCCTCTGTTTGGACAGGGGCTGTCCATATAGCAAAACCCTACAAATAGAGTAATTAATCTTATTAAGTAATATAATATTGTTTTATTGATAATAATACAATATTCACAATAAATGGTTCTCTAATCTGGTCTTTGACATATTTTATTCAATTTCAATGGAGGTTATATACATTGCTGTGTGTATTTCACTTTACAACCTGTTTGGGAGGGATTTTTTGCCCCAAAAAATTGATTTTTTGACTGCTATTTCACTATTACAACCGTAATTTTTGACTTCTTCTCTCATAAATGGACCTCACTCTTACATTATTTGTCATGTAATGTGCGAAAACATAATTCATTTCGAAATTTTCGACATCAGTTCAGATCAAGTTACTCAAGATCAGAAGTAATATTTAACTTCATAAAATATTGCTATTATTCCTTATTTTTTCTACGTCCTTACTTTGCTCCCATTTCTCTTTCTATGAACATAGATAACTTAGTAAAGCAATTAATCTTTATTAAGTAATCTAAGTAATGGATTATTGCTAATAATATAATATCCCAAAATAAATGACTTCGCTAATCCTGTTTGCAGCCTATTGCATGGTCATAACGTCGGCCCTAACTATAGGCAAGGTAGGCGATCGTCTAAAGCCCCACTTCGATAAATATCCCAAAAAAATTAATATATATATATATGATTTCATATTTAAAATTGATCTAAAACTCCCAAAATCTCGACCGACTTTGCCTGGCCATGTACTTGCTCCCAACTTCATGACCCACAAGTTAAGTAATAATCAATTTTGGCCTTCTATAATCTATTTTAAATTTTTATTTATTATTCTTTTGGGTTTTTGGAGGTTTTGACTTGTATGAGTTCCATAATGAACGAGTCAACAAGCAGACTAGTGATTTGTATTAATCGAAGTACTCAAATAATTTTCCTCCTCCTTTACCAGTCTTTCTCGTGTATATAAGAATTATCTGTACCGATTTATCATCAAGCTCAAGAATGTACCATTAAACTTTCTACTCGTACTCACAAGTCCGTATAAACAAGGCAGAGACGAATTTGAAGCAAGACAAGTTCGGATTATTCATACGAAACCTGAAAACGGTTAAATCATCCCTATTTTTTTGTTAAACAATTGATCGAAACATGGAATGGTCGACTTGACATTACATAATGCAACTTAACTCAATCAAAATCAGGCCTTTACACAACAGTTGAAGCAGCTCAAAATGCTCTTCCTTGCCTGTGACACACAATAGCAGAGAATTTACGATAAAATCTGATAACAGTATTGCTCAAAATGCTCTTCCTTCAGCATGTTGATTGTGTAAGTTGATGTAAGAGCTTTTCTTGGTAAAAATACACAACAGCCAACCACAGAGAAGACAATAAAGAAAGAAATGGTGAGTGGTGTTGTCGTGTTGACAATATTAGCTCAATTGCTGAGGAAAAAAAATGAACCTTCAGAAAATTTCTTCCAATTCAAATGGGAATCTATGCAGGACTATGTCACACCACAATTTATAGTTAATTGCTGTAAAATCAACTATAGTTACGATAAGAAAAACATTAGCTACACTATTTGTAATGACCTGATATCTATGCCTAAATCGTTAACTTACGTACTTTCCGCTCTAGGAGAGCTTGAGTCTATCTTATTACTCAAAGATGTCTTTTTCATCTCCAGTATTCAAACCCATGAACTCTGTTTTATGAGAGAATTAAATTGAATCCTCATGTCAAATTGGCAACTTGCACAGAGGCCAGGTCGTTACACTGTTCATTTCAAAGAAAGTTTATAGCCAAAGGTTGCATTTAAATTTAAAAAAGAATCTCTTGTAAGATCATGATTTATTTTTTCTCAAATTTAAAGAAGACTGTCTACACAAAAGTAAACTGCATCATGATTGTATATCATATGGCTTACATTATTCATTGCATGTGCACCACCTGTATATGCATGTGGGCCTGGAAATAAGATTATCTCAAATTTATGCTAGCACAAGTTGTTTCCACATTTCATGTGCTACAGTACTAAACCAAGAACTACATTAATTCAGCACCGCATGATAAAATCCTCTGCAAGCCTAACTAAGATCAAGAAAATCATTTATGAACCTTGTCCAACCTAATAGCACTTGGCTGTGACGATTCATGCTTCCAAAGACATGAGACAACAAACTTAGGTTTCGTACCTACTCTGAAAAGTTTGCCTAAGGGTCGTAATTTTCATTTGAACCAACAGAATAAACATGAGCACAAGGCACTGTTGTACTTGTTCTTCTTAGGTCGGGGGTTGAGCCAAAAAAAGAAAAATTGGCATTTCACTTAATTGGGCAGGTAACTAATCAGAATATTTTCACCACCCAACATAGGGCTCCATTACAAAAAGTTCTGTTTGACACTTACCTGCTAGCCTGTGAATCCACTCACCGAAAACAACTAAGTTTTGGTCCCCCACCCAGTAGTCCTAACCACATATAGTCCACTATATACCTTTAGCTACCGTCCTAATTAATAACTACCAACTACTTGAAAAATGTAGTATTTCAATAACTCATAGTTAATACTGTCTTCATTAAAACATAAACATAGTGAAAAGAAACTGTACACTAAAGATAGCTGAAGAACTCACTGTTGGAGAGTGATTTTGATCATAGTTGTGGTGATCATCAACATGGGCAGTTTTTATAGTTTGAGTTGTTGAAGAGATGAGCTCTTCCTCGTTTCCAAGACTGGCTCTTGATGGATCCCTCTTGTTTTGCTTTCTCATTTCTCTGATTTTTGAAAAATCCATGGAATAGTCGGGCAACGGACCCTTTTGGTCCCATTCCCCAAATTGTGGAACAGATAACCATGGTTCATTCCTCTGTACAAGAAGAAAAAATTAGGATTAATTGACACTTCAAAAGTCTATGATTCTTCCTTTATTGGGGAATGGTAAAACATGGATATGCACTTGGCAATCCAACATTATAACAAAAAAAACAAAATAAGCCTTACTTCCAATGAGTCTGGATTTTTGTTTCTCGTCATTTACTTTAGCAATAGGCTCCACAATTAGAAAGAAAACAGGGAGGCAGAAATGATAATGCCATAGCAGTTGTTATCCAATTTGTCATATTAAATGGTGGATCATACACAAACAAGAACTACTTATCGAAAATGGGTATCAGAAGAAATAAAAAAAATAAATAAATAAAATACTGGTATAAATATTCAAGGACTGATTTCCAGTGTTATCCTTTGAAACACTCTTGCATTTTCAAAGTAGGCTTGCATAAAATTGACAGTTCTCATCCTTCCAAAGAAAGAAAGCAAAACGATCTTCCATTCACACAAAGAAAACTAATACCCTTTTTTCTTCTTTCTTTACCTTTTATGATAGTCGATATTAGAAAATTTGTGCTACTGACCAAAGAAAGTCAAAATTTGACTAATTAAGATATGAAATCCGTTATAATCAAGTTAGAATTCAATTTCATCAAATCCAGATAATTTCAGGGGCAGCATTTACATTCAAAATACACATACCTACTGATGTTACCAATAACTGAATTATCTTAAAACATCTTCCAGATTATGAAAGCATACATATGAATACAAAAAATTGTGGATAACTAAAACAAAGATCGAGAGAGAGAGAGAACACAAGCAAAGCAAGAGAAAGAAAGAAACTTTACTTTGATTAGTTTCTGTACAGTGTCATAATATAATTGATCCAGCAGAAACTCATCAAAACATTCAATTTCTTGGCATCTTCACAAGTTCCCATATATATATATATATATATATATATATATAACCATAAAATTCAGAATACATTCAAGGCCATGTTCAATCAGTAGTATTGGTCTCGGGAAACAAGATTTTAACTCCCATTTCTTCAATAATATTATCTTGTCTAATCTAATTTACCAAAAGTGTCGCAAAGATAATTCAAGAATGACACCTACAAACACAGAGAGGGACAACTTTTTACCTCCTTGCGATCTTCCATATTGTTTCAGTAAAAAATCTTGGATTTTCTTGAATATAAGACCCTCTTTTTCTCCAAAGAAATGAACTGAATACTGAAGTGATAATTTTATTTGTTTAAATATGCTTAATGAGTAAATATAGGCGGAGAGAGTGGAGAGAAGCTTTACGCTTCACACTTTACCCTTCTAGGAGGGTTTCTACGTCATAGACCGTGTGGTTACCGTATACTATTTCCAAATTCTACACTCGCGAATTTGACTCCTACGTGTTGATCACTGGCTCTGTGTATATAACAGGTACATATGAGATAAGAATTCCACACGGTTTTTCTGCACTACTGGCAATCCACTTTTACTTTATTTGGGAAAGAGGGCTCGACGTGGGGTAGGGTTAATTACGACTTTCAACATGTTGTCTCCATTTGCTGTCCCTATTTGTTGTACACGGTGTTAGGAGCAACAATCAAGTGAATGTTGATTGACTCCCCCCGCGTTGTCCGCTGTTCGATTCATTATGCAAGCTGGCTCGCTTTGGCAAATATAGGTTCGGCTCACCCCATTAATGTGCGTTGTACTCTGTTCGATTTATTATGCAAGTTGGCTCGCTTTGTCAAATATAGGTTCGGCTCACCCCGTTAACGTGCGAGCCATTCGAGATTCATGAAATTTATTTATTTATTTGGGTAGTTTGCATGCTAGCCAAGTTGACAGAGTGGTCAGCTCGCACGATTATTTTGTTGTTCAAAAGGAAGAATATGAAGAATTAAGTCAAAATGATCAGTTTTATGTTATATTAAACAAGAAATTGAAAGAGATAAGAGAGAAATTAGGTGTTGAATCATTGAATTCAAAATATTGAGTGTTTCATATGCTTTGTATTATTAGAGATGGGAGAGAAATTATGAATATTGAACCAACGAATCAGAAAATCTCAATATTATCGTTTAGATTTATATTAATTAAATTTATCAATTGACGATAAAGTCCTCTCAAAATGTTGATGTACATTGTGTGATAAACCATTGCCTCGCAGTAGAAGATTGAAAAATATAGAGAGAAAATTTGTAATCACTAATTATATCGAGTTACTTGTTTACATTAATATTAATATTTAGAAATATTAACATTTTTAATATTTAAAATTCCTACCAAAAATGATAGTTACCAAGATAACAAAATGAAATTTGTTATGTATAACTTAACAACTAATAATTTTTTTGTAAAGAAGAAGAAAAAAAGACACTAGGGGGCTGTTTGAGCTCGATTTTTTCACCCAAAAAATTGATTTTTTTACCATTATTTTACTATTCCAACCGTCATATTTGACTTCTTCTCTCAAGGTGGACCCCACTTTTCTCCTAACGGTCAAAAAATCAATTCTCAAACAGGCTCTAGATCAAAATCTATATCTTAAATTTACTCATAAACTAAGTGCATATTTTAAATTATAAATTATACTCTCCATAATTATGTTTTCCCTTTAAGTTTTTAAATTTAATTTGTTTATGGATACATATATAGGGTGTGTTTGAACCCCATTATTTGGCATTATAATGAGATGAATAGTATTTTTTTTAAAAAAATGAGTGGTTCAAATTTTTTTAATTTACGTGTAATATTATTTTATTGAAAATTTTGTAGTTAAAAGTAGGAGAGAGAAAAATTAAATTTAATGTAATGAGAAATAATGGGATTCAAATGGGGGCATAATATACTTCAATGGTATTATATAAACAAATGACCTTTAAAATTGGATTTAATATGACAAGATAAACATGATTAGCAATATATTTAGCACCTGCGCGTTTGGTAGCAATTTTTCACCCTAAAAATTCAATTTTTTGACCGTTATTTCAATATTCCAATCGTCATTTTTGACTTCTTTACTCATAGGTAGGACTCACTTTTCTATCTAACGATCAAAAAATCAATTTTAATAATCACAATCAAGCAGATTCTTAATCAATACTTTACAAGTCAATTCAATACTAGTGAGTGGGATAGCTCTTTAGGTGAATCTCTGCTTCTACCAGTTACATGTCAACTCTATTCATCAAAACCTCGGGCCTCTCCTGTAGTAGAGATCGACAGTGGGGACGGTCCCTCATTGTGGATCAAGTTTCAGAACTAATTCTTTTCAAAACACCCTTTTTTTGCCGTAAAGTTATGTCTAAGGAGCTCGATACCTTGATAAGGAATGAAATTCAGCAGCTAATCTCACCTCCATTCCCAATATTTAGTTGGTTTCAAAGTAGTATTCTCTATCAAGCGAAAAAGTGTGGGTTTATAGACCGCTATAAAACTAGATTTGGTGGGATTTCATCAATTTCCCGGAGTTGACTATAGTAAAACTTTTAGTCCAGTTATTAAACCAACCACCAGCAGGCCCATCCTGTAGTAGACATCGACTCCCAGAACGTTCATTTACTGCGAAATCAAGTTTCAGAAAAATTCTATTTAAAACTCTTATTTGCCATAAAGCTATGTCTAAGGAGCTTGATGCTAAGATAAGGAATTACAAATGGAGCAAGCAGCTAGTCCCTCAGCTCCATTCCCAAAATTCAACAATGCTCTTTCATGACGTCCCTCACTGGTGATATGTCTCGACCCTAGGATTTCAACATCAATCTCATTATGTTTTCCATCTCAAAAATCGCAATGGCAATAGGGCGGGCTGTGTTGGGGAGAAAACGGTGGGTCGACTTTGGCTTACAAATAATGGAATTGAGAAAACACAGCTAAAATGGACACAAGTATTTACGTGGTTCACCCAATTTAGGCTACGTCCGCGGGCAAGTATGAGAGGATTCCACTATAGTAGGAGAATTACAACAATCTTTCTAAATACAGGGAGATAAAAATAATTTTTTTCTTTCTATTTTTTAATCTCTCTACTTCCCAATTTTCTCTCTACTCAAAGAATTTTTTTCTCAATTTTCCTCTCCATTCACGGCTGCATTTTTCTCTTTAGCTTTGCCCTTATTTATAGAAGTTTTCCACCGCCTAAGTGCTTTAAAAAAGTCAAGAAAAGAGGCAGCAATTTGGCTGGAATTGGGCTGGTTATTAGCTGGAAATCCATCGCCTTATATCAAGAAAAATTGGCTAGAACTCTCTACAAACTTGGCTGGTCATTTGCAAGGAATTCCACCACCTTTTTGTCAAGAATAATGGCTGGTTATCTGCTGGATTTCGGTTGTTAGAGCTGGAGAAGAAAAAACAAATTTGCCAACCTCCTATTGCATGCATGCATGTACATTCCTTGGTTGTTAAGTAAAGTTGCATGAATGTCATTATTGGTCAACATTTGTGGCTTTACTTTCAACATTTCTCCCACTTAAAGTCACTTTTGTTGAGCATTTCAATCCTTCCCATACTTGCCATTTTTATGCTACTTACGTTTCTGCTAGGCCAATGGAAGATCAACACCATATAAACTTGTCAGTTCCGATTGGCTTTGTCAATATATCAGCTAGGTTGTCCGCTGTATGGATTTTCTGTATATCCACACTTCCTTCCTCTACCTTTTCTCGAACAAAGTGATATTGAACTCGAATATGCTTTGTCCTCTGATGAAATGCTGTATTCTTTACCAAATGCAAAGCGCTCTAACTATCACAAAATAGAGTAATCTTCTCTTGTTTGCGTCCGAGCCCGTCCATTAACATTTGCAACCAGATTGCCTCTTTGCTAGCTTGTGTAGCTGCCGCGTATTTTGCCTCCATCGTGGAAGTATCCACAATAGACAGCAGTTTCGAAATCCAACTTACAGCTCCTCCAGCAAGAGTAAACACATATCTTGTGGTGGACTTGCTTTTATCAAGATCACCTGCATAATCTGAATTAACATAGCCTCTGACAATAAGATTTGATCCTCCATAACATAATGTAGCATTTGAGGTACCCTTGACATATCTCAGGATCCTCTTTACAGTATTCCAATGCTCTTTACCAGGATTTGTCATGTATCGATTGACCGCTCCCACTATTTGTGCATGTCTGGTCTTGTACAGATCATAGCAAACATCAAACTACCCACTGCTGATACATATGACACTCGAGACATCTCCATCCTCTCTGCTTCACTACTAGGGCTCATACTTGAGGATAACTTGAAATTAATAGGAAGAGGGGCAAAAATTAGCTTATAATCTTGCATATTGAAGCGACGCAAGATTTTCTTCAAGTAGTTTTTCTGACTAAGCCAAATCTTCCTATTATTTCTGTCTCGATAAATTTGCATCCCTAGAATCTTGTTTACGGGTCCCAAGTCCTTCATATCAAACTCCCTAGCCATTTTTCAAATTTTCAATACGATTTTGTTGGGGCTTGCTACCAACATGTCGTCAACATACAACAGCAAGATAATGAAATCATTATCACCAAATCTCATGTAGTATGCACACGGATCTGAATAGAGTCTGTTGTATCCAAGGCTCATGATGAAGGAATCAAATCTCTTTTACCAACATCCCGATGCCTGTTTGAGACCGAATAGAGATTTGTTCAACCTGCAAACCAAGTTCTCTTTTTCTTTTTCTTCAAAACCTTCTGATTGGAGCATATAAATTTCTTCTTCAAGTTCTCCATGAAAAAATGCAGTTTTCACATTAAACTGCTCCAGGTGTAAGTCAAATGTAGCACACATCGTCAGGACTACTCGAACTGTTGTGAGTCGAACCACAGGATTTCGTTGAAGTCAATGCTTTCTTTCTGAGCATATCCCTTCACCACCAGTCTCGCACGATACCGCTCCACTTGGTCATTGCCATCTCATTTGATCTTATAGACCCATTTATTTCCAATGGCCTTCCTTCCTTGAGGTAGACAAGATCCCATGTCTTGTTCTTATGAAGAACTTCAATTTCTTCTTGCATTGCTGCCATCCACAGAGAAACTTCTTGTCTATTTATAGCCTCATGGAAAGTTGATGGCTCTCCATCTTCTGTCAGTAAGCAGTATGCAACATTGCCCTCTATTATGTAATCTGAGTGCCAAGCCGGTTCTTTTCTCTCCCGAGTAGATTGTCGAACATCTGAAGCACTAGATTCAGCTTGTTCTTTGTGCTCTAGTGTTGCTTCAGAAGCATCTATAACTTCTCGTTCGTCTCCAACTTCGACTGTAGTAGTCTCTGATTTTTCTTTTGAAGTACTATCATTTCATTTTTCCTGTATTTTGCCTTCCGCAAATATGACATCTCTTCTAATTATCACCTTGTGGGTAGTGGGA